TGTCATTGTTGGGAGTAAATATTTAAGCTTCAGACACAGTAATTAATGGATTTCTACTGCTTGTGGGTGTTTTCTTAGCGTGAGGAAGGTTTATGAATTTCAGCTGTTCCGTTAGGAGTTGAGAATGTTAACTGCTCAGCAACATTATGTATATAAGTTCATCACATTATCTAAGGAAAGGTGGGTTGCAGTTGGTGAGGGATACATGGTACCCAACAAGCGTACATCTGTCCATGTTATGTTGTGGTGAGGTATACCTTTTTCATGTTGTCGGTTTGTGTCCATTTTATTCCACTTATTGTGTTGGGTAGTAGTTTTACAAACGAGATTTCTTATCTGTTTAAGGATACATATCTTAACCGTTAATGTTTTATCTAGAATTATAAATATAGGCAAAAAACAACAGGTGTAGTATTTAAGCTTATACATTAAATGGACCTATAATTTCGGAGGATCTCAGATAGCAACTAGAACTACTATCGTTTGCAAACTCTTGTAGTTTGTCATTAAGCAGCTTTTTGAAGGAGCCCAATGTACTTGCTTGACGCATTTCCATTGGCAGTTTATTCCATATCTGTGCATACCTAATCAAGTAAAACTTTTTCCTGGTGGCTGTTTTACATTGTTCGATAGCTACTGTACCCTTAGTGTGTCTTAGTTTATAGCCATTGTCATCTGAAAGTCGAGTGCTATTAGTAGTGGAAAAAACTAAGTGGTTTAGAAGCTTATAGTAAAGTGTTAAGTTTAGTCTCAGGCGTCTTAGCCATAGTGTTTCTGGTCCTAGAGTATCACATCTAGTGGAGTAGTTCGCACCATTTTCGGTTCCGAGTAATTTTAACGTGAAGTACCTCTGCACTCCCTCGACTTTCAATTTGTCCTCTATGCGTATGCTACTATACATGAATGAACAGTAATCAAATAAAGGACGCACACAAACCTTGTACAACAGAATTCTAGACTCATTTCTGTAGAAGTTTCTGAGTAGAAAGCCGATAAGTCTGCGTGACTTTGACACTTGTTTGGAGATATGTTCAGAAAATGGTAAGTTATGTGAATATTTCAACCCTAGGTCCAGTACAGATTCCAGCTAAGTTAGATGGAGTGCAACGACAACTTAATCTTAGAACTTTCGTCTCAGAATGCTTTCTTAACTAAGCTGAGCGTTGCCGTGAACTGAAAACAGAACCAATCTGGAAATGACGGTGTCAATGTCCAGGTCTAACTACCCTGGACTTAACGCTGTTATAAGAAGACTTTCAGAAACTATTGTCAATAACCAACGCGAAAAAACCAAACACAAATTGGTGATTCAAGAATCCTATATTCTTGCGCCAATACAGAATCAACCACAAGGTTATTGTACACAAAGTCCAAGAATAAATGTTATAACAATTAATCACAATAATACTTCTGAAAGTTTTTCTCTGTCTTCTAAGAAACAGCGAGCGATAGAACGATGACTGCAGTATCGATGACTCCTGCCAAAAAATGGAGTTGGTTTAGAGTAAACAAGCATGAATTGATCGTTCATTCTCCAACTACTTTGACAGCACAAATAATATTATTTTTGTTGTCAGTATTTAGCAATCCAGAATTTAGTGCACTACTTAGGCACTTGATGATAACTGAGTGAACTCCAATGTGGCCGACCATAAAAACAAACAGGATCGTGGAAGACTTATACGGAAATCAACAACAACAACCCAATATATTGAATTTGATTATACAGTATTAGGAACACAATATTCAACGAAGAGAATCTTTTCAACGAATTTATTATAAAACTGTAGAATCATATATGCATATGGTTTTTTAAGGAATTATATCCAATGAGGGAATTAGACCAAAAATGTGAACACATGAAATAATATGGTATGGGATGCAAATAAAATATTTGTGATTATAATCACAACTGAATATCAAGTAGCAAAACAACTAACGTCATATACAAAGTAGTAATACATAAGGTGTGTACAAGTTCTAAAGGGGTGCATAATTATAGGATTAGTAAGTGAAAATAAAATGTTACATAACATGGTGCGAAATTTGATGCGACAGAATTCAATATGGAAAGAACAAAAATTATAATTTTGGATTTAAAATGACAAGTAGGACAAACCAAAACAATTCAGAGTGAGAGTAGTAATAATAATGATAATAATAATAATAATCGTAGTAATAAGGGAAAGGTACATAGACTAACTAACTAAACAAAATTAATAAATGTCTATCCCTCCACGGCCAAGGCAGAAGTAGGGATTTTACATACTTCTTTTGTACACAAAGGTCTGGCTTAAAGTCATGAATTGCCAAGGCCTCCGCTGTCTTTAGAAGTCCGTAACGAAGAGAATGCGGCAGGTTAGCATGGATTCGGTGGACGATCTTAAAATCATGGTCAGGGTCGGCAGATTGACAGGAGTCGATCAGGTGTCCTAGAATAGAGCTTCTCACACATTTCCTTTCTCCCTTATACGACCTTGCTGCGAAATTACAAATGACGTTCACCAGGCGCATCAGCATCTCTGTATAAAAAAAAGGTTCCGCGTCTGGCCGCCTCCATGTGCATCTATCAGTTCACCTGCTCTTCTGGAGCAAGGTATATCGGCCGTAGCCAGAGGACGCTTTCCATACGGATATGAGAACATATTCCAGAATGGTATTACACGCATTTTCTCATAATTTATCCAGCTGAATGCCAGTCTCATAAATCATTTATCCCGTTATTTGCACTCTACTCCATACTTTCTTTCTTTACATCAGTGTTCACTGGAATTCTGTATTGACAATTCATATGTCAGTTTCTGTCAATTTAAAGTACCTTACATAGTTTTGTGCCCATGAAACTGGCTTTAGTCCAAGAAATAATGACTACTATATTGATTATCAGGGAAAATGTGATTGTTGTGCCAGTCAACAAAGCATAGCCAGCGCACGGCTCATAAAACCTGCGATTATACGGAAATGTGGTAAGGGTATTTTCAAGAGATGGAGCCAAGTGAAATAACTGGCGATGTGAGTGTGAGAATATCCTAGTCATATCAAATAAACAACAGGTATAACATTCAAAAGACACATAACCACTGAGGGAGCGCACTTACAGTCTTCGCCCAAACAGAAATGAAAACAGTGTTCCAAAGAAACTCTACTAAATCCAAAATAAACCAAACAGAATTATATTGATAACAGAACCGAAAGATTATCGTTCTATTAAATAAAGTATATCAGATAAACATGGTACAAACCTCCACATAAGAGGTTATCCAGCGTCCAAACACAAAGAGTACACTAGTCGGACCCAAAATTAGTTCCCATTTAACGAAATGTCAATACAAAAAGTACCGTAAAGACAAGGCTTAAATGCGTTCTAACTTCTCTTTGCTACGATTCATGGCTTTAGGGATGCAATACCAACAATCACGGCCTTTGCAACATCAGTAGACGGTTTGAATCTCCAGTAGGACCGTCATAAGCAGCTGCTTTTGACTGCTTCCCATATTGTAAAATGTCGGTGGCAGCCAGCATCAACCTAGATCCACCAATTAGTTTTCCTCTTATTAATACTTATGATAAAGTGAAGGTTTCTCGTCCTGGCTCTTATTCCCTCAGTTATTTGTTATTTCATAATAACTTGCATTATCATTATTAGAAGCTGTAAAAAATGCCGATTTGGATTCACAACCTACAAAGTTCTCCCTGAGAAACGAATCTCAGCAGCTGTGTAACACCAGCAACTTGGTATGCAGGGAGATAATTCATTGAGTTATAAACTATTTAATCGAAGAGAAATTATTAGATGCAGTGCCCATTTTCTAATTAATGCATTCAACAGAATTACTGTAACCAATACTTTATTGCTTCCCTAACCCTAAAGTCAACCTAAGCCCCAACCATAACATGTCGGCGATCTTAAAATTTGTCCGAGCAGTGACCACAAATCTAGCTTTTCTTTTTACTTAATCCCTAGCTACAATCTAACCAAAGAAAACTGCTGATACTTGAAAAATTTAACTCAAGTAACAGTGGGGGTTCTCTTTTAACGCGTATTACGAACATCTTCTAAGGCGTAACTAACGTGTATTGTATTGACATTCAGGTCAACCTCGGTTACATAGAAATTAACTAAATATCAGGAGTCAATTTCTTACCATCAGAGAAGCAGTTAGTTCGGCCCATACGGCAGCAGAGAGAGGTGGTATTGGATATTGGGACACCCCTCACACCTCTTCACCCTAAACTGTTAACTTCTTCGGCGGATATAATATATATTCCACTTACGGAGATTTTCCGAATGCCACTGACCCAGGCTAAGCCACCCAGGGACTGGAAGGATGCCCTTATAAGCCCTCTATTCAAAGAGGGGAACAGGCAATTTGTATCTAACTACCGGCCTATAAGTTTGACATGCATTATAGCAAGGGTATTATAAAACAATTATAAGGGATCAGCTATTAGCTCATGTGGGTAACATGGTTTGCTGGAGGCAGAACAGCATGGATTCCAACCAGGACGATCCTGCCCGACAAACCTACTATTGGCTAGGGAAGACTGGGTTAAGGGCAGAGGTAAAAATCTGTTGAACGTGGTTTTTATCAGTATTAGTAAGTCACTCGATAATAAGTATCCCACTTAGGTCTCCTTAGTAAACTTAAATTTTTCGGACTAGACCATTGCCTATGTGAGTGGTTTAGGGATTACCTAGTGGACAGAAGGCAGAACGCCTTACGAGCTAACGGCAACAGTGTGTTGATTCACGTGAGTTATTTCAACTCTCTCTTATTGTACTCAGGTTGCTGGAGAAATAAGCATTGCTAACGGAGAATTTAGGAGATTTACCCAGTGCTTCATTTTAAGGGAACAGTCTCCATGTGATTTTTACGTTTTGAATGACATATTCCGGTACCAAGATTTTGTGTACGGTGACCTCAGGAAGAATAGTGCAGAAACAAACAGTAAGTTGCTTACTTACATTGTAATATGTCTTAGATGATCATGTGACAAACATGAGTGAATTCAGTCCGTCAGAGAGCGTCCAACACTGTCCTATGCCCCAATCAGCCAGAGACGTAAGCACTGATTATTAGACTAACCTATTCTACCCAGGATCACACTCACAGCTGGGAAAGTGCACCCGAACAAGGTTACAAACAAGCTATTGAAGAAGATCAGGCACATAATTCGGAAGTTAAACAAGACCAGATAACTGTAGAACACGTAACACCACATTCTTCTGCCTCACCATCGATTCAGCAGGAGGCGGTGAGACAGTCACACCCTGCTAGTTCCCCACCATTGCCACCTGTTCAATCTGGGCCACGTAGTTGGGCACAAATGGCATCTAAACAACCGTCTCAGCCCGTTATGAATGCACAAGTATCTAAAGGCTTGAGAAGTAATACAAATACTTCGGAGTATGATACTTCAGACGACCAGCACAGATCAGGCTTGAGACAGTCTGTGAATCCAGATGGCGGCCCGCAAAGGTATGTTCTAACTTTTGTACATTCCGTTTAGTCTTCACGTGTCATGCACACTGACCAGCAGTTGACAAGCCTTTATTTTTTCACTTTATGTAAGTCATGTCCTACTCACTTCTATCTCAAACACAAATCCCAAACGATTCTATTCTGAAACTAATCCACTCATGTGTTAGTTCACCTTGTTTCATCATCAAAATACGAGGTGGGTGGTGAAAAAAAGGCTAGCAGGTTTTAATCCTTATCAGTGATTCTCTTGTTCATTTGCCCAATGGATAGTAGTTTTTCTTTCGGGTAAGCTTGGTGTAAATCTCGATTTCTATGTACTTATGTAAACAAAATGTGCCGGGAACAAAGAAAAAAAGTGCGTTGATAATTCATTTAGAAGACTGCCTGACAAGTATATCTTGTACTGTTAGGATATTACAAAAACGATCATTAATTTACAACGAAATTATGTTTTGACGAATGCTTCTACCAGCTTCAGGGATGTAGAATAATATAACAGGTAACCTGTATTAATTCTTACTCAACATCCTTTTTGAGGTTCGGTTTCTTGAAAACATCCATCGGGAAAGCCGATAACGCCTGCTTTGGTAAAGTTCCAGTCTTTGACTACTAACCTGGGATCTAAGTACCACCCATAGTTTACTCCACCGTGGCTCCCTAATATCCTGTAACTGAATAATAATACAGTATCACATTTAAGATTTTATATAATAACCATGTGTGTTGCAAGGTTGGAAGTGATTTGTTTTTAGGCAAACACGGAAACAACATTCCATGATAAAGTGAGTCAGCCAAAAGGCAAACAATAGCAATCGACCACGTTGTCACAACTCATGAGTCTTTACCTGATAAGTAAAAAAATCAGTGTAGTAGAGTCCTAAAACTGACAAATGAAGCTCTACTGCAGACTTAGAATTGAACATGTGGTTTACTTGAGATTTCTCACTGAAAAGTGGTAGGAATCGTCAAGCTTGATATCTAAAGTGTAAATTCTGGACGGATATTTTATGTATCTGATCTTGAGTTGACTAACCGTTTTTAGGCTGATGTCAGTACTGGTCGTCTAGCAACTTTTTAACAGCTAATCAGTCAATGCGTCATTACATTAGACGTGAAAAATTACGTAGTAACTTCTGTCATTAATCAGTACCCATATAGCGTCCTTCCTAGTATACGTGATGACTGTGCACAAACTTGGCACTCTTCATTACATGTGGAATTGTTTTATTTCATATTGCAGCACATAAACTGCATTACTTTTGTGTATGAGGTAGAGACAGCTGTGAAGGTGCCTGAAATTAACTAAGAGAAGGCAAATATTGTCGGAAGTCAGATTGTAGAATGACTACGTTCTCCAAAGATTCTATGCTACTCCAAAGTACATTAGTCAGTTTCGACTGTAGCGTGTCATCAAATGGCGTTTAGTGTAACGTCTGTGAGAAATTTTAATGGCATTGTTCCATTCTCGTTATTAGAAGATGCAAGAGGAGAAAAAGTTCCGAGAAGTTTGAGTGTTTTCTGTTGAGGAATTGAAAGAAGAGCACTCATCAAACTAGAGTTATTGTGGACGAGAATGTACAAGAAACATTATTAGATGAGGGGAAGTGCGAATATTCATCATCCGAGAGTTTCCGATACATAACTGACAGGTTGGTTTCAATGGACCAAGAATCATATCTCCCTGGCTCTGTGGAGAAACGGTTCATTAGTCTGAGCACTTGACTTGCAGTCAATGAGTGCAGGGTTTGAGACCCGCATCATCCACTTCAACCTGGGCGACTGATTAGTATCACCAGTCTTCACAATCCAGTACAAGAATAATCCGTTCCGGATAACCGAGTTCAAACAACAACATTTACCTTGTAACCGCTAACGACAACCACCTTTTTAAGAGGTGATATTATTCGAGAAATAGTGTCACTTGAATGAGAGCATGAAGAAGGTGATTGACAAACATGGATTTTGTATTTATTATGCTTAGATGGTTGTTACTTTCCCTCTGCCGGCAATGCAGAAGTTGATTTTCTCCTGAAGTGTTGTTTAAGTACAAACCGTGGTGGACAATTACCTCTGCTTCTTAGAGCTGGGAGATTGCATAACTAGTTTGCTGATCGTCATAGGCAAATACCCTACTGGTACCACACATGTACATACTGCATTATGACTTGACACGAAGACTCCTGGTGGGGTACTAACAAACCCCAGTATGATGGTGAAGAGTAGTTTTTATTGTTCGAGATACTTGTCAATTGTAGTCGATTTCCTTGTATTCTGAAAATTATTTTTTAATTAGTGTTAGTTATTCTGCAGAATATACCACTCCAATGTATCAGAATTAGTTTGTGTATGGGTTCTCAGTGAAATGCACAAAGGAGAGATTATGTATTATGCTATAATAGACTCAGGTTTTGATATATACTTAAGTAATTTAAACTTTAAATGCTTTTTTGTTCTAGGATACGCCCTATGGGACCACGCCAACAAGGAGATTCACGAGGTGTCTCGGAAATGAATTATGCGCATGATGTAAGTGCTTGGAACACAATACTAATAGGCTTAGATTTTGGTTTAATAATCGAAAAAACGTCATGTTGTAAAGTAAACAATTTATTATAGACTGTATACACACCCCATTGCAAGTGATCGTGAACTATGTCACCAACAGTCTTCAATTACTGGGTTTTTAACGTTGATAAGACCCTAACCAGATACTTTATACAGCCCTGCTGACTGAGACCAACAGCCAGAGTGTATAAATTGTCTGAACACAACTGGTACTTCAAATTTAATCTTATCTGACTAACTGTTGCTCGCTTAGGAAGGCAGTGTGACTCAGTATGCGTAACACATTCTATCTATTTCAATTTTATGGTGTTTCACAACCTTCCCTTCGTTACCTGACAACATTCAACACCTAAATTTATCATGAGTAAACCTATAGCTCCACACAGTACTGACGGTTAAATGTGAAGGCACTTCAAGTCAAGAAATGCTGATCATTTCATAATCTTCCACCTTCAGTCAACTAGCCCTCATAGCTGTAGAGTAAGACAAAGTAAATTGCCACACAGTATGACATGTCGTTTAATGAATTCCAGATGTTACGCTGGCGAAAAAGAAAGAGAACTGAAGTTAGCGAATTCCGAATAAGCTTTTCCTTTGCTTGGGAAGAATTCGTTAGTAACCAGTTCATTAGGGTCGATGAAACTCCCCAAAAATAATCAGAGTTGTCAATCCACTCAATCCCTATTCGTTAATTTAGGAGTCATCACTACTAGTACTTGCAACTACCCCTTAGGTAGATGAACATTTTGACTATTTCTAACAACTGATTCACAAAGGTGATTTTTGTCACACTGTTTTGTTATGCGATTCTTGCAATGGTCCTTTGTAAATAATTATTGCTGGGAAGTATATACCTTACAGACACTGATATAAACACGCTCTTTATATAATTTGACAGTATTGTTGAGACTAGCTTTCCACACCTGCATAGAAAGTTAATGAGGAAGGTAAAACTATTGGAAAAGAAAGGGGACGAAGAACATGTATAAAATGTAATATCAAACATCTCATATAATTTGTATCGGTAAGATGTAGGATCTACATGTATTCCCTAGTCTTGTAAATGGATGGTATACTTTGATATGGTGATCTTTAGAGTGTTGTCTTGACGTGATGTTTAATGTCTCTTTGGTGTGGTGGTGGTAGCTGGGCGCTTATAGAGTGTGCTATTTAGCCTCTGAGGTGAATCAGTTTTTAAACATAGTTTTATAGGCTAAATCACACAATGATTTCAATTGGTTTTACGGAGGACTGACTGCATAATTTTGAGTATATTTTAATGAATGGTTATGTTAATGTTGACATCTCCGGAACAAAAAGACTTAATTAACATTTTGCTGCTTACGATCAGCAACATTAGGACACTTATTATAAGATATAGTTGCATGATCAGTGGTTTCTCTTATGAGTGTGGTGGTGTGAATAGGTTAGAAGCGATTTGTGTTTCACAAACAACATACCAAGCTACTGAAATTGTTGGAGACTAAATCTCATTTTGTTTGTTGAATCTAAAATTTCGTTTCTGTGATGAGCATCCTTATCGACAAACGTAAACGACTGACTGAAAATGTAGGGATTTGATTGCTTACAGGATTTTATCATAAGCTGATATCGGCTAGAGGACCATTGGAAAACTAATGGGTAGTACTGGACAGCTGTTTTGTTAACCTAGTTTGGGGGCTTACCAACGGTACACACACACACCCCACTGCCTGGGTTCGAACCCAGGAAATTCTGTTACAAGGCGAGCTCGTAGATTATCCAGCTACTAGTGGGACGCGACTCCTCATTGAGCAGTCCATGAATCCCAATTTCTGCTAATTCACGATATAACGCGACTGGCACTAGCCAATGTCATCGCTGGCGAGTATTTTTGTCGTCACGCCCGACCCATTGTGTTGTTGTTGTGCCTTACTGAGATTCGTCTGATAATTTGATGTGTATTCGATAAACACTGTAAGACAACGTAATTGTGGGTTCCATCTTCCATTCAATAATACTGTAAGTCTACTGACGTTAGTATCTTGTGGAGCTCACGGTTGCCTTGATTAAATCTCAGAGTGTAAGTAGGTTGATCGTTAACTAACTCGAAACCGATGCAAATAGGTAGGTAAATTAACATGTTTCACAGCAATAAGGAAATAGTCATTCCTTCGTCACAGGTACAGATGTTTTGATGGCTTACTCTGTGGGTCAAACCTTGCTTCTAATTATACAGAACTATGCTATGTACCATTAGTGCTCATCTACTTGTATTTCGACATTATTTTCGTACCCTACTTGACGTAACCCTAGGCAACCAGGTTAGTAAAGTCACTGTCTGCTACACAGTAGGTGTGGCGCGCCACTGACAAACAAAAAGTTGTGTGGAATATATATGGCGTAATCACTACTTTCGCAATCTGTAAAGTTAAATTAACATTCATCATTTCGTTTGTACTGTTTTTTCCCGTCTTTCAGAATCGTGGTTCTGCTAGAGGGAATACATCTAGAGGTTCTGGTTTCGGTGGACCTGCTCGTGGTGGAGGTAGAGGTGGCGGCGGCGGTGGACGTGGCGGTATGGGTAATGGACCTATGGGTCGAGGTTCAAATAATAATCCACGCAGAACAGGTTAACTAACGCCAGACTACATGGCATTATACCTTCAAGCTTGGACAACACATTTATTAAACAAAAATAATAAAACGAACAAAACAGATGTAACTAGGCATCAGTTAGTCTTCACTACTGTGCTGTTTTACATAACCTGAGACAACAAAAAAGTACATTTAGGAACAAATTCTTCGAATTGCTAACTTCTTGAAAGTTGTCTGCTTTCCTGTACTGATTGATTTTATCTTTTCTCTTTCTAGTTAATAATTTGCCTTGGTGTTTTTTGAATAAGATTTTCTTTTCACATTCACCAGTTCTCTTTTTAATACACACACACACACACGCATGTGATGATTGTAAAGTACACTTGTGTGTGTGTGTGTGTGTGTGCGAGTGTTTTCTTCGAACTTCGTTACATTTCTCAGTAATTATAACTTCTTTCTCTTTCCAAGCATCTTTGTATATTAAAGGTGTTTGTGTGTGTGTGTGTGTGTACACCAAACAAAAGTGTCTTCACAATACTATTTGAACTCTGATATGCATGTGTGTGTGTGTGTGTGTATGATTGATTGTAAAAGAATTATCATCACCTGATAGCTCTCTTTTTTTTAAAAAATTTCGCGGTCTTCTTTGAATGCTTCAAGAGAGAAAGTTGTTTTGCTTTGATCTCAGCTTCCATATACCGCGTGGGGTTTTTTGTTGAGAAAAAGAGCTGTCACATAAGTCCACCTAGATAGAATTTGCAGTGAAATGTTGTGAAAAGGATGCAGGAGAAAAAGTACTGTGTCATATGTATTGAATAACAATTGCGTAGTTTAGATAACATCCTCCAGCCACATGAACTTTCTGTATATATAAGTCCTCGGCGTAGACAGTGACATTACTAATAATTCACCCCTATTAAGTTTGCATTTTTTAACTAGATACGCCATTTTGTCACCAGAAACGGTTTCCTATTGTCTGTGCCTTGCGGAGGGGGAGGGCGGTGGTTTGGTATATGCTACGTTGAAGCGTGGGTTAAGTGGCTTGTGCATACTAGGATGGGGAGATTTAATAGAGAAGTGAGATGTTAGTAGCTGCCGATCCTCACCATAGTTTTGCTTTGGTCACGGTAAAGAACACATGATGAAGCCAATTTAGACATCCTTTACCCTCTTCATTGGTTGACACTTCAGTGTTCCGATTATCAGTATCATGGTATCCTTTTTCGCAGATTGCCGCAGTGTTTCAATGGTCATAGTACCGCGCATAAGTGTCGAGGGAACATTTAGGCAAACTTAAACTTTAAGTACCACTCACTAACTACCAATCAGCGAACGGACTTCAACGAAACAATCGCATGAAAGAGGGATTCTTGATTATGGAAAACATATATTTATCAAAAACTGCATAAAACTGTTACATAGGGTATGTGACAGAAACACCTCCCATTTTAGCATAGGAGTGTCAGTAGGAAAGTCATACCGCATTCTGTACATATATTCATCCAAATGACTATAAATGACTTCCTTTTGAGATCCTTATTTTTTAATCTATAGAATTCGTGTGTGTTCCTGTAATGGGATCCACAAAATCACTAGGATGGTTCACTCTGATATATCCAAGGGATGACAGCGAGTTATAACCTTCCCATTCCTCAGTATGTACTATAGATCCCTGTTTCACCAGTCGAGTGACAATAGGTACTAAGGTAGTAGACTTTCTGTCTGGTATTCTCTCTACGAATCCCATCTGCAGGGAGATGTCATATGAACCGATCACTCAAACATTGTTGGCTCACTCACGACCACGGTTGTACTTTTTCTTCAATAAGACAGTCTCGTCCAAGATGACACCTCCGTCTGACAATATTCTCCATTTTCCATGAGGCGATGTCTCTGCATTGCTGGTACCACTGAACTGTTGACAAGAGGCTATTTTCGGTTTCAACAGCTGCGCCTCTCACAGGCTGTTTTAAAACCCAGTAGTTACAAATATACAAAATCTGGGTTAGGGGGAGATGCGACCTAGCAAAAAATGTTCTTTCGAAATATTAAAGTCATCAGCTTACCTTCCTTAATACTAACTGGTGTCAAGCAAATTGCAAAACGGTGGACATATCCACCTGCTAAGGCTTTTTAGACTCATGACACCTCCACATGAACAAATCCTCTCCTTCCTAAGGAACCCCACGTCCGCGCGAAACTGCAAAACCTTATCCTCATCGAACTGGAAGCGTAACTTCGTTAGAACAGGCATTTGACACGAATCAAGCGGAATACAACCTTGAACTCGTGGGCTAACCTCATTGGACCATCCTAGTCATTCGCTGACTGGTAGTTAGTGGTGCTTAAAGTTTAACTTGGACTGCTTTTGACTGAATTCAATGACGATGGCAAGTTTGCTAGGTAATATAACTGAAACTACGCAATGACTGCAAGTAGAGTAATGCTAAATGAAGGAATAATCGGCACCTGTTGGTAATTTAAGGGCCAGCTGCATATCTACATAATTGACAAAAGAACCATACTTACTTTGCAAGGGCTAATGTGACTACTTGACTGCGCCAACTGTGGTAAGTAGAGCAAGGTTCGTACCGACCGCCCGGTGGTTTGTAGTTAAGTGCATAAACCAATTAGCTACAGGCGTCCACATAGAAAAGTTGGGCAATATTTAGTCTTATATTAAAGAAGCCAACTGAGAGGAAGTAGTTCCGTGCGGAGATCTAAAAGGTTTTCGAAAGGAAAATGGCGGTAACTATTTTATTGCGACCCTTAATGTGGACCTGTTCATCTAGATTGCATCTCCACCTCGTTCACCAACCAGCCGTACACGAGAAGTTGACCCTCCAAATACCTACAGGACAATGTAGGGCGGGAGATTATCAGGTATTATTGTCACAATCATGTTGGGAGATCTTGTTCGAGGTTGTATGATAGGAGGTAAGTCATCAGGTTTGAAGTCGTGTAGAACGCAAATGTGACTCATAACTCCGACGTAATTCAGAAGCTGGTATTATCGTGAGGTCCTGTCATTTGTGCGACACCAGGTACAAGATTATGAAAGTTGGTTTCAAATTTCGCCCAATCAGACGTACCCTTGGGTTTCAAGTAGTACCTAGGACTTCAACACCACGTCTCTACTTTGTTCTATTCTCTGCGGTCCCCGCTAGCTGGGCCCACGATTCCCCATAGTCTCTCATCTCCTTCACCCCCCAAACTGTCACCCTCGCACTAACGCCCAACTTGTTGTTTCCCATTTGGGTCCCACTTGAGCAATAGCCACCCAACGGTCTTCCTCAGCGTGTGTGCCCAATCCACCTCCATTTTCTCCTACATATCTATTGAACGATAGGTCCCTGGTTAATATGTCCCCATAATTTCTTATTGCTAATTCTCTCTAGCCATTTGATTCTTAAAATGGAGTCGGCGACCTCAGCTATTGGTAAAAGTCTGCACCATTCTGATGGAAATGCTTTTCATGACTCATGCATAGTGCAAGTTACCGAACAGAATCCGAATTTTGTTGTTTATACTGGCTGAGTGAGTGCAGAAGATTTCCAAACTTGAAGCTATTCCTTGGGAGCCTTTCCGATTCTTTGCTTTAATTTTCTATAGTTGGTTTATAAGGATTAGTTTTGTTTTTACGAGTTTGACCACGGATTGATATCAGTTAGAGAACCATTGAAAACTAGCCGGGGAGTACTGGACAGCCAGCAGTTTCATCCTAGTATGAGAATCATCGGCAGTGTGCACCCACCACGAGGGTTAGAACCCAGGACCTTCCAGTTACAAGGCAAGCTAGCTCGTATACCATTCACCCACCCACAGGGACCTGACACCTCAATGGCCAGCCCATGAATTCTAACTTCTACCAATTCGTGATGCATTTAGCGCAACTGGCACCAACCAATGTCGTCGGTGGGACATCCATCCTCACACGTGACATCTGGATGGACCTCACTGGTCACGACGACTTCTCACTAGAACTGACTCCAGGAAACTCCATCCAGCAGCAAGTTACTCACTAGCGAGCATCAGATTACTTTTCTACAGTTTGGTTTGTAAGGATCAGTTTTGTTTTTCTACGAGTTGATCACAGATTGATATCATCAGTTAGAGAACCAGCCGGGGAGTACTGGACAACCAGCTGTTTCATCATCCTAGTTTCGGGAATCATCTTTGCTTTAAGTATACTCATCACTAATCTAACCCCAAAAATCTAGAAAAAAATCCTTAGTTTATTTATAAGATAAGATAAGAAATTGGGCACTTCACACCCACACTGTGACAAAATATAATTCCATTCACATATTAAGAGATGGACAACAATTTTTTCCCCAGAATTTACATACTCTCACACACACACACACACACTACACCACAAATTCTATGATTTTACAACAATAAGGAAAACATGAATATTATTCTAAGTGTATATATATAAAAAAGGATCATGATTGTGTCAGATATTATTACTTTGTGTGTGTGTGTATGTGTGAGTGAGTGAGTGTACGTACAACGCACGCACGCACGCACGCAACTAACTAACAAACTGTGAGTGTACAATCATCAAACGACCACAAAGAAAGCGTGACACAACAACAACACCACGAATAAGTGTTAGTGAGAGAAAGTGTGTATATGTGACCATGTATACAAGAAGATAGAGACAGGACATCCCCCTGTTCATTGTGTGTGTGTGTGTCAGAATCACAACGTAACAGCGATGTATGCCTACGTATGAAAGACATGATGTACATTGATGTATGTATGTGTGTGCGTGTATATGAAAGTAAGAACATCCCAACACAACAAGAACAAATGTGTACATACCAACACACACACAGACAGATCAATACACACACACACACATGCACACAAAGGGACTGATTAAGATCACAGTTTAGCCAAATTAAGAATTGGAAACATTTATTTCCCGATACGAATTTAAAACAAGCAATAAAAGTTAATAAAGCAGGATTTAATGATGGATTCATCAAATTTCGGTAGAACTCGTCAGCTGCTAAATACTCTACATACACGGATATATACTTTTGAAGTTACATTGGGAGATGATATAGGACTGAATACTTTACATACACGGATATATATAGTTTTGAAATTACATTGG